CTTCAGTGGGACCATCCAGGCTCAGCCGGAGGTGCCCTGCTACATCCATCACCGCAGCGCCTCTCAAGTGTAAAATTGCTGCAACTTTTTTTTCCATACTGCTATCATGTTAAAAAAAAGTATCTCATTTTATGTGTCCAGCTCTCTATTACTCTTAAGCATGATGTATTGGTAACAGGGCTATGGAAGCAGAGCCGTGCCTTTCGTTTGGCATTACAGCCCCTGTTACGCTACCGAGGCACACCTGAAAGCCATTTCGGGGAGCTCTAAATTACCGTGTGCTGCTGCCGTGCTAGCCAGGGTCTGTTAGAAAAATCAGAGTGAGCAGAGTGGTGTCTCCTCTGCAGCACTTGGCAGCCCGTCCCAGGCCTGTTTCAGCTGGGTGAAGCTGCAGAGGAATCTTTTATGGCATTTTTCACTGAGGCACGCAGCCTCCTTTAATCGCCCTTCCAAGTGGTAAGTGGGCCCGTACCAAACGTGAGCACCTTTGATCCCAGGGCAAGGGGAGTTTCCAAACTCCCCTACAAAGGGAAAATTTAAAGCAAAGCAGGAAACACCCCAAGAAGAAGCTTTGCAGCTATTCCTGGTGTTTTGGAGGCTGTGCTGACCTCCCCAGCACCACGGCTGGACCTGCAGCAGGGCTGCCCCTGTGCCCGAGGGGTTTTTCTTTTGCTCCAGAACCTCGTGCTGTGTGAGGACAGCAGCAGCAACATCTGCATGAACCAGACTTTGCATCACCTCTTCTCCAAGGGTGGGACAGGAGAGGGATTAAAGCCCCATTTATTTTTTTTTTTGCTCGCTGGGCAGGGTGGGGAGGGCTGCGCTCCTGCTTGCTGCCCTGCAGGGGAGGACAGGGGGGCAGGTTCACGTCCCCACACCAGCACCCTCCCCAGCAGCAACCTACAAGGAGAACAACCCAGTTATCAGCACAACTGGCCCCACAGCACCTGGAGGGACCAGAGATCCCCGTGTTTGTTTGGTCATTCCCACTCCCTCCGCTCTCCTCCAACGTCTGCACATCCGCAGGCTCCTGTGAGCAATTTTGCCGTTGAAACTCCCAAGTTTATTCATAGGAAAGTGCATAATACCTAAAAAATGAAAGTGCTGGCTCCCTGCTGCCTGCAGGCAGCTCTCCCCAGCTCGCTCTTGCTCACAGGAAGGGAAATCGCTCGGAGCCACCCTCTGAGCAGCAGCTGGGCTGTAGCAGGCAGCCTCTCCTACCACACAGCCCTTCAGGGATGCTCGAGCTGGAAGAAGGGGGTGCTGGCCCCAGGGTGCCCCCAGCCATGGTTTATGTTAGCTCAAAGCAAGTCAAGAACAGGGATCAAGACATCTCACCCTACACAGACATCAGATTTGAGAGGGGAAAGGGAATCTCCAGCAGGTGGCTGAGAAGAAAGCGCACCCAGGGCAAGCAGCAGCAGTTCCCTGCTGCTTTCTCCTCCCCTTCACAGAGCACCCTGAAGTGGAGCATCGAGGTGCAGCCCTCCGGACAAGGACAGGGGGATGCAGGGAGGTGAAACAGCCCGAGGTCCCCAAGCCAGATGGGACAGACAGCAAGAGCATGTGGGCAAAAACACCCCCAAGCTCCCCGTTTGAGCTCTTTGAGTTCTCCTTCCTATATCAATGGCAATAAAAGGTGATGAAAATAAGCAAAAAGTGGGAATCATAGGAAAAAAAAAATGGTAGAGAGTAGCAGCAGGGAGACTTTTCTCAGTAGTACTTGGCAGAGCTGCGAGCTGCTCGCGGATGTGCTTCCAGTGTGAATCACCCCACGGAAGCGGGCTCTGCGTCGCCGGCCCCCAAACCACGTTTCCAGCAGGACCCTGCTGCCTTTTTCCAGAAAATTAACCCAGGGGCTGCACAAAACATGTGTGGGTGGGCTGGGAGCACTCCTGGTGGAGGAGAGGGGTTAAAGAGCCTTAGAGATGCTGGGAGAGGCAGGAACTGATGCGCTTTCTCCACGGGTTAGGCACCGAACGTCTGCCCTCGCTGCCTGGCTTGGCCTGGGGACTGCAGACAGTAGGAACAAAACTCTCCTCTCCCGGGCAGCAAAAGCGTGTGTTTAAATAAATCATTTAGCAAATAAACACATCTGCTAGCAATGATGCTCAGAATGCTTTTTTTTTGTGTGTGTGTGTGTGTGAGGGATTCTCCAGCCGACGTGTCCCAGGCACTGCAGAGACCCCACGCCTGCCCAGCCAGTGCCTTTAGGGTCCTGGGGGCTGTTGGGGTAAACTGAGGCACAGGGGGGCTCACAGCACCACGGGGTCAGCAATTACCTTGTGTGGAGCACGTCTGAGCTCTGGCAGGGCTGCTGGAAACACCCCTCAGCATCACAGCTCCTTGCTCACATTTCGTGGCTTTCCCGGGAGGAGCCGTGTTTGCTTTTATTTTGCTTGGAAGTATTGGCAAAAAGCTTCGGAAATGCAAAAGGCCATAAAGCCATGGGGTCAGGTGTGCTGGGAATGTGGTGGATGGTATTTGACATCAGGTCGTGGCATTGCCAGGACTCTTCTGGAGTGTCTTGTACCGTGCCATCCCCATCCCCATCCCCATCCCCATCCCCATCCCCATCCCCATCCCCATCCCCATCCCTATCCCCATCCCATCCTCATCTCTATTCCCATCCTATCCTAATCCCCATCCCCATCCCATCCCATCCCATCCCATCCCATCCCATCCCATCCCATCCCATCCCATCCCATCCCATCCCATCCCATCCCCATCCCATCCCATCCCATCCCATCCCCATCCCATCCCATCCCATCCCATCCCATCCCATCCCATCCCATCCCATCCCATCCCCATCTCTATTCCCATCCCATCCCATCCCATCCCATCCCATCCCATCCCATCCCATCCCCATCCCCATCCCATCCCATCCCATCCCCATCCCCATCCCATCCCCATCCCATCCCATCCCATCCCTATCCCCATACCCATCCCCATCCCATCCCATCCCCACCTCCCCACGCACAATTATCCCCGGCTGCCTCAAGCCCTCCCCTCCCCGCGCTAAAACACCTGCCGGCGGGGGAAAAGCGATGCATTTTCCCCTGGAAACACAGAATTTCGTTAAAAATACCCCCCCCTTTCATAGCCTCGGTGAGCCCTGTGGTGGCTGGAGGACGCCCCAGCGAGCCCCCCCCCCATCCCCGGCGGTGCGGGTGCGGCGCTGCGCAGGGCGGCTGCGGGCGCTAGAGGGCAAACGCGGCCGCTGCTGCTGCGGAGCTTGGGCTCGGCCCTATTATTACACTGCTGTGCCTTGGGCTCGGCCCCCCCAAAACGCTGCTGAGCCCCCCGATCAGCCCCGTAAGCACGGGGCTGCGCGCCCCGGAGCCGCCCCCCGGGACCCGGAGATGCTGCAGCGCGCGGAGGCATCGGCCCCATGGGCTGCTCTGCCCCACCGAGGGGGTGGCACACAAAACCACCGGGAAAAGGGCTGGATTTGGGGCCGTGCTCAGCACCCAAGGGGGCTGGGGCAGCCGGGATTCCCCAGGGAGGGCCGGGCAGTGCCGGGTCCCCAGCCCTGAGCACCCCTAGCAGGGAGGTGCCCTCCCCGTGCCATCCCCGTCTCCATCCCACCCCACCTCATGGGGAGTTGTGAGGATGCTGCAGAGTTTGGGGGAGCTGGGGAGGGATGAGGAGCATCAGTGAGGGGGTCCCTGAGTGCTGGATGTGGTTCTGTGATGGCCCCAAGGATCCCTGGTGGGCAGCCCGTGGGCACCAGCAGGAGCGATGGAGGGGGCCTGGCCGTTTTGCCCACCCCAGGGGCTGGCAGGGATGTGGTGGGCAATTGTCAATGGTGCCACCACTCCCTGCTGCCCCCGAGCCCGGGGGGTTTGGGGCTGCTCGTGCTGCAAGGGGAAAAAGAGCAAGTGGGCCAGGCGTTTCGTGTTTCCCTTTAAAATGCGCGTTGGATGCGAGTGCCAAACGCGCTCACCAAACAACAGACACGAGCTATGGAAAACCCTTCTTAAATTGCCCGGGCTGGCTTCCCACAGCCCAGGACTCCTGCCAGGGCTCTCTGCTTAAAATGGAGTCCTATTTCCACATCCTCCTCCCTGCAGGGAGAGCTCCCGAGTCCTGCCACTTTCCGATCTGCCACTGGATCCTCCATGTTTCCAAATCCAACCCGTGCCTCTCCCCAGCAGGGGATGCGGCTCAGCGCAGCCTTGAATCTGGCCTCTGCTTAAATATAAATCACCCTCAGGCATGCGGCTGTCTGAGCCAACACAGCTCAGCCAGGGGGATGAGGCTGATGAGGGGCAGAAAATGAGCTCAGGGGACTCAGCCTGTGTCCCGCTGGGAGACTTCACCTTGCACCTGCCTGGCACTTCTGCGTGTTCTTCCCAGACAGCATTAAGACCCTGAGAAATTTTTGGGATGCATCCACAGCCTGTGGGTCCCACGTCACCCAAATGGTGCTGGGCAGGGCACAGCCCCTGGAAGAGCTGAAAGGCTGAGGCTGGAGCTCGGGGCATGGTTTTAATCCAATATTTTCCCCCTTTTCTCCTGTGCTTGAGCCATAGCGCTAGAAGCAGAGAGAAGAAATGGAAGGAAAATACTGGGGGTACCACCAAGCACAGCCACCAGTGCAAGGAGGGCTGCCCACCTTGGGCTGGGGAGAAGCTGGTTCCCAAAGGATCTTTTTAAATGCTTTGGGTTTTCCCACTCATTATTCATTTACTCATTTGCCTGTGCTCCCGGGGAGCCCATCCATCCCAGCTGGTGGCCAGGAACATCTCCATCAGGAGAGCACAGGAGCAGGAGGGGCATTGCTGCATCTCAGGCAGGATTTTTTAGGAGGAGAGGGGCTCTGCCTTCACACCTCCCAGGGCAGCAGCGTCTCCCCCAGGCTCAGGATCCAGCACCCACTGACAGGCACCCAGAGGTGAGATCCGATTCCAGCTCTCCGCATTACACGCGTTGGGTTTTCCGAACCAGAAAAGCTCTTCCCACCAAACGCCCAGCAGCCCTCTCCTTTCCGAAGGTCAGCAAAGCTCCCCAAAGCACAGCGAGGGTGGGTGGCGCAGGGGGGCCGCTGCCTCGTCCTTTGTCTGTGAGCAGAGCTGCCGGCAGCAAGAGCGATTGTGCACGGGAGGAGCCGTAAATCCATCCCCGGGCGGCGTGTCGGGGAGGTCAGCGGGAACACAGCGTGTTGCCTTGTTGGGACACGAGCCACAAAACCCACAACACGCCCAGCGCATCAAAAAGAGAGCGAGCGCTGTCAGAGGGCTGCTTTGGGGAAAGAATGGTGAGGTCCTTGTGTGCCGCCAGCCACAAAGCCCCGGTTCAGCAGGCAGAGCCCAGCCTCCTCCCGAAAATGCCGACCTCAGGGGGGTTTCCACCCCGCTTAGCCCAGAGCCCACAGCTCACAGCAGCCAGGGGTGAGCTGAGAGGCAGGGGAAGGACTGCCTGAGAGCAGGGGATGCTCCATGTGGCACCTGGAGACGGTGAGGAGCCACCACCAGGGCCACCCATGGGTGCTCATGAAAACCGGTGGCTCTGCCAAACCAGGGAATGCGGGTGGGGACCTCTTGTGACCACAGGGACAGGGTGAAAAAGGTCCCAAGGTGGAGACCAGCTTGCAGTGCTGGAGAAATCTCTCTCTGCAAGATATTTGTCAAAAGTCACCGCCAACAGGACAAGTTTTCTCTGCTAATCGGGACCTGATGCAGCTGAGCTCAGCGCGCTTTGCCTGCTGCAAACGGCACCCAAACACCTGCACTTGTCTTTGGGTAGAATGGAAAACCAAAAGCACAGCGGCTGCCCTGCAGGTAACGCACCCCATGGCTGTCCTGCAGAGAGCTGGGGCCACTTCGGACCCATGTCCAGGCAGCGACCTGAGGCAGGACACAAACCCCAAGCAGGTCCCTTTTTCTGCCATGTGTGAATTGCTCCCCTGGGGCTCGAGGACTTCAGGTCTTCACTTGCAGCAGGTGCTGCATCTCCCCCAAATCCACGAATTTCTTTGCGCCCTCTCGTTGCGCTCCAGCCCGTGAGGCGGTGGCGGTTTTCCCTGTTTCTTGCACAGCCTTTCCCATTCATCACATGCTATCAAATTAGCAGCTATGGCAAGAGCCGGCTGGGAGCAGGCGCTATGTAAACAACAAGCCACAAGAAGCTGCCGGAGCTGTTCGAGGCTCCCTCTCCCTTGGCTTCTCTTGGGAGCAGCATTTCCCCGAGGCTCTGTCCCCAAGCAGCCGCAGAGGTGGGTGAGGAGGGGGCTGTGGGGCTGCTCCTGGACCCTGCCCCTTGAGGGGCAGCACCTTGCCGTGAGCCTTGTGGGGTGAGGAGGTGATGGGAGCCAGGGGTGCGGGTTGGGAGCGTCCCGGGGGAGAGCAGGGAACCCCCAAACCTGCACCTCGCCTGCAGCATCCCCTCGCCAAGGATCGCTGCTGCCAGTCCTGGTGGTTTTCTGCGATTTGGGGCTGCTCCGAGGTGGACGAGCTCCCACCACCCACCTCGGGTGTTGCTGGAAGGGGTCTTCCACCGGGAGGAGCTGCAACATCTCTTGGATTCCCCTCGTTTTGCCTGCGTTTGGGCGCCGCGTTCAGTTCGTATTCGCGAGGAGCAGAACAAGCTCCAAGTTCCCCTCCTCGTTCCTTGAGCAGAGCGGGACCTGATCCAGTCCTAATCCGAACCAGATGCCTGCAGCGGAGAAGAGCAGCGAGAGGCAACAGTGGGGAGATGTTTCCAGTTAAAAACACTGTTAGCAAGAACAAACATCTTGCTTTCAGGCACAAGGGCCTGGGCTTGCAGTGCGATCCAAGCACTAGGTTCTACCCAGTACTGTTATTCCAGATGAACTCCCATCAAAGCAGATAAAAGCCCGGCCCCGGACTTCGCCATAAATTATCTGGTACGAAACCCAAACATTAACCTCCATATCACTCACAGCTGTGCTAACTCTGGGGATAATCCGGGATAATTTGCCACGCACAGGCTGCATGTGGTATCGACGCTGTATTTATTTCAGTGCAATTTTGGCCAGCACGAAAAATGCGCTCGGTTTTGGCCACCCCACCAGGCTGGTGGTGGGAGCATCGCTGGGCGCTGCGCTTCGTTTCCAGCAGGGCAAGGAACCAACAATTAGGATTTTTCCTGAAGAATCACTGATGGAGGAGCAGACTTTCCTTGTTTAAAGGGGATTGGTGCTGCTGAGACCCAGCACAGACCTGGGAAGTCGAGGATGTGCTTCCCTGCAGCTCGGCACACCCGGCACAGGGACGGGGACCTGGCTGGTGGCACCGCAGCAAAGCCATCACGGGCTGGCAGCGAGCAACTCACCCCGTGCCATTCATGAATTGTCTCATGATTGGGGCTCTCTGGGGGCACAGGAATTTGGTGCTGCCTCCCCGTTAGCCTCAGACATCCGCGAGCACAGATCCGTGCAAAGGAGTTGTGTCTTTACACGGGTTTCATCAAACGAAGAGCCAAACTCGTCCCTGGGGTAACCAGGTCAGCCTTGGAGCTCGCCCCGGAGCTGAGCCCAGCTCAGGCTTGCCAAGTATTGAGTAACGGGCTGGTGGAGTCTGCAGACTTACGATTCGGGATGGGCTCAGCAATATTTCTCTCCGGAGCTTCCCTTGAGCAAGGTGATGCATTGCGCTGGGCATGGATGTGAGCGGCTTGGCCGCGGGCACCGGGGGCCGTACTCCTCGCACCACCGCCATGCCCACGCCGTGCAGCCAGCCAGGCAGGCTCCAGCTTTCCCCGTTCTCGCTTTAATCGCTCGCATCCAGCCAGGCAGCATCTCCTTTCCGCCGCTCGGCAGCGGCAGGGACTTGAAGGCACGGATAAATAAAGGGGTGGGATGAGCGGCGCGGCAGGAAGGGCGGAAACGCAGCAGAGCTCCGCGCTTGGGTGCCAGATGCAGCGAGACGGGAGGGGGGGGCACACGCACACACACACACCCCCTCCCAGCCTGATTTTCAAAAATCTTTTGTTTAATTAGCCCAGCTCAGAGCCCTGAGCACCCGTCTGCTCAGGGTGGGCTTGCTTTGCTAGGGCAATGCCTGGGGACTTGGCTCGCCCTAAGGGATTTGTCCCCTTCCTACAATGTCCCCAGGGACCCCTGGTGCACAAGGACCCCCCCTTCCCACCCCTGTGCCACCCTGGTGCCACCCTGGTGACCATCCCAGACCCTCCTAGACACACTTCCACGAGCCTTGCACGCAGCACAGGGCCTCAATTTTTTTTTTTCTGTGGGTTCCCCAGAGGAGGCCAGGAGGGGACCCACACCACGCCAGCAGGAGGTGTTAATTCTGCAGGCGCTGAGCACCCCCTGGCCCCGGGGGCTGTGCCAGGATTGCCTGCAGAACCCACGCGTGGTGTGGGAGGGGAGCAAGCACCATGAAAAAAAAAAAGAAAAGCCCATGCAGCCTATTACCACCTAGATTTTAGTCCAAAATATAATCAAATCCCTTCCAGCCTGCCAAAAGCCTGATAATTTGGGCTTGGAGCTGCTATTTTCCTGGCCTGGGGGGCAAAGCCCAAGGCCCATTTGCTGTCAGCAGTGCCCCACGCACCCATTGATCCCATTCCTGCTGGGAATCACACAGAGACCCCAAAATGGGTGCCTATGGGGCTGCAGGATATGACCCTAACTCATAACCCCCAGGCCATGCACCCTTCCCTCTTGCCCTACCTTTATCAGCTGTCCCGGCTCATGGGTTGCTTCCATCAGCTAATTGGTGCTAATTAATCCCAGCAGCACCAGCTGAGCGTGAGAGGCGCTGCTGCTTCCACAGCGGTGGATTTTGGAAGTTTTTGGGCCAGCAGCGAGTTTCCCCACAGCATCCCCAGGGCTTTGCAGGATCCTCTTTCCTGTCCCCTCCCCGTTTGGCCCTGGTGTCAATTCCCAGGTGCTGCTCGCTTTTAAGCCTCCTCCATCTGCGCCGAGCCTCCCGCTTGGGTCTCCATTTGGGGGAAAAATGGGGTTTTTGTTGGGAGAGGTCAATGCTAGGTGGCTGGGGAATTAGAGGTGGCTCGTTCTGCTGGCCAACATCCTGAGCTCCACGTTAGCTGCATTAACCTTCCCCACGGTTCCCAGCACACAGTTTTATCTCCCCACACAGAGCTGCTTTTCAGAAGAAGACCAAAAAGTTGTTTTTTTTGGTGCTCGCCCGTTATCAGATCCGCTGGCATCTTATGGGGGAGCTCGGCACAAGAATGGGACTCGATAATCTTCCATCAGACTCTTGGCTGTGTAATCTCCTTATGAAAAGGAAATCCTTTGTTTATTGGCGGGGTCCTTCTGTGTAAGGGGACCTGGAAACGCGTTCGCTTTGGGGCTCGAGTACTTTGAATTCGGCAACAACAAAATAAGTGGGTGCAATGTCCAAGCTGCTGCCTGGGTAATTCCCTGCCTGCTGCTTTCATTCCCAGCTCGCCGGGAGGCGATGAGCTAAAATGGCTAAAACGCTACTTTTTTCTGAATATTGCCTCTCCTCTCCAGTGGTGGGGAACCTGAGAAATGTGACCAAATGCTGCTGGGGCAAACCCCGTGTTAGCAAGGGGGTGCAAGGGGGTGTAAGGGGGTGCAGGGCCTGGTTTTTGGGCAGCACGGCCAGGTCGCTTTGCTCAGTGCTGGGAAGAAGAAATGGGGTCAAACTACCCAAATTGCTTCCTGCATCTGTGGCCTCTTAGCAGCCGTTTGTCCCCAGCCCGTGGGGGACCCGGGCACCCAGCCCCATGGGATTTAGGGGACATCCCCCTCCTGAATCGCCCTGTGCATCCGAGTGCCCTTCAGCTAGGAAATAGGATGGGGAGCTCTGGGGCAGAGCTATAGGGTCTGGCAGTGACTCGGGGTCAGGATTTCTTTGGTTTGAGGCCAGTGCAGGCACTCCCTGGGTTTTGGGGTCTCACCAAACCTCAGCAATGCAGCTCAAAAACCAGGCAGGTCAGGGATGCTGTAGGACCCCCCCCCCTAAATTCCCTGAGCCTCCAAAGCAGCCTCAGTGCATGGGATGCCCCACGGTGCCCTTTTTTGGGGAGAAACCCAAAGGTTGGGGCTGCTTCACCCTGGCACACATTTTTTTTGGGGGGGGGGCAGCAAGGTGCAAACCCCACAGACAGCACCTGGGGGACAGGGGGGGCACAACCTGCCCCCCCCCCCCATCCCTCGGGGATCCCTCGGGGGGATGCTCTGGGGGGGGAGTGGGTGCAGGGATGGGGGGGGGGCGTAGCAGGTGCTCACCTCCCCCCCCCCCCAAAAAAAATAAAAATCAAGGGGAAGTTTGGCTGTCAAGGAGTTAACCCCCGGGGGCCTTCCCCTCCTCGCTTGCTCTATTTCCCCCCCCTCTCCCCACATCCCTCCCCGTGGCCCCCCCCCCGCTGCCAGCGCCGTCAGCCCGGGGGCGGGGGCTGGCCCCGGCCGCTGCCTGCAGCCGAGCTCCGCGGGGAGACAGCAGCGGCGGCTCGGGGCGGGGGAAAAAAGGGGAAAAAAAAAAAAAAAAGGAGAAAAAAAAAAAAAAAAGAAATCCGCCACCTTCCTGTTTGTTTTTTTTTTTTTTCCCTTTTTTTTTTTTTTTTTTTTTTTTCTTTTGGTCCCCTCCCCCCCCACCCCCCCTCCACCATCCACAGCCCGCTCGCCCTGCATGACTGTCACCGAGGTAAGGAGCTGTGTGTGTGTATGTGTGTGTGTCCCCCCCCCATCCTTACACAACCCCCCCCCAACCCCACCCCGGGGGGATGCTGAGCCCGTTCCCACGCCCCTCCGGCCGCCAGGTGCCGGCACCGGGTACCGGGGGTGCATGGGGGGGGCTCCCGGAGCTCGGCCCCCGGCGGCTCTGCTGCATTTTTAACCCTTGGAGCAACGCCCGTAGGATGGGGGGGGGGGATTATGGGGGGGGTTGTGGGCACCCCATAACGCTCGGAGCCCTACAGGTGGCTGTGGGAGCGGAGGGGGGGGCAGGGAGGGGATGGGGATGGGGATGGGGGGGGGATCCGTGTTGGAAGGGGATGGGGGAGATAGGGGAGAGCCCCCCCAGCGGAGCATCCCAGCCCTGGGGGTGAGGTGGGGGGGGTCCCGGTCCTCAAATTGCCCCTGCAGCAGCCTGGGGGCTGCCCCCCCCCCCCCCACAAGCCCTGCTGAGGGGAAGGGATGGGGTGCTCGGGGGCTGCCCCCCAGTTCTGGCCCTGCTCACGGTGCTGGGGAGCACCAAGTGTCCCCTGGTGTCCCCCCCCCCGGCCCGGTGCAGGCTCAGAGTGCTGGGGGGTGGTGGTGCTGGGGGGCACAGGGCATATTGGGCATTGCTGGGGGGGCACAGGGCATCCAGAGGCACTACTGGGGGGGCACAGAGCATCCCCTGGTATTGCTGGGGGGGCACAGAGCATCCCCTGGCATTGCTGGGGGGGCACAGAGCATCCCCTGGTGTTGCTGGGGGGGCACAGAGCATCCCCTGTTGTTGCTGGGGGGGCACAGAGCATCCCCTGGCATTGCAGGGGCTGTGGGGGCAGCAGCTGGGGGGGGCGGCTGGGCCAGTGGGGAGCAGACTGGTCCAAACTGGACCCTCGTGGCCCAAGCCCCCCTAGCAGGAGGTGGCCGTGCGATGAGGCTGGGGGCCCCCAGGCTCCAAGGGGGTGCCCCGAGCGAGGAGCCCCCGGGGTCCACAGCCCTGTTTGGGGCTCTGGTGTGGCCCAAGGGGCCGGGCACGGGTAATTTTGGGCCTCCCGGGGGGGAGCAGCAGCTGAGCCCCACTTGGTGCCTGTCACCCCCCTGGTGCCAGGAGGGGACACGCTGGGGACACCCGCGTTGGCACCAGGGTGCCCAGGACATCACAGCTCCCTTCCAAGGAGCCTGAATCACCCCCAGGGTTGGTGCTGGTGCGTGCCCAGGTGAAAAAAAGAGGAATTTCTGCCCTGCTTCTCGTTCCGTAGCAGAAAACTTGCATTTTTGCCTGCTGCGCTCTCGCAGGGCGGTCACCGGTGCTTGCGTCTGGTGTTGGCTCTTTGCGGCGCTGCCCCGAGGTCCCCGAGGCCGGACAAACCCAGCAGCTCTTGGGGATAAAAAAAAAAAAACACTCCCAGCCCTTCTGGGTGCTGAGAGGGGGATTGATGGGCTGGCCCAAAAAGGTCGCTGGGGTTAAAAGAACTGCGAGGCTGCTGGTGTGGAAGTGTCACGGCTCCGAGCCAGGCTGGTTCATTCGGAGCGCTCGTTAACGGTTGTGAGTTTTTTTTTTATTTTTTTTATTTTTTATTTTTCTCCTGAGTGTAAACAGATTTATTCAGAGCTACATTGAGAAAAGGCCAGGCTGTGAGGAGAGCGTGTTCAGGAGTACGGGGAAGGAAGCTGCTGTGATTTTCAGGGACCAGGGGTGTGCTGGGATGTACTGGGTGCGCCGAGTACACTTCTACCAAATCCCTGTAAAGCCCTAACACACCCCGTGGGTTTTATTCCCTGCAATGTGGACTGTCTTTGGAGGCTATGAGCAGGGTCCTGAAGGTGCAGGTTGGGACCCAGGCCCCAGCTCTGCAGTGACAAAAGTGTCCTGAGCCCATGGCACACCCCTGGGCACGAGGCTGGTGCGCAGAAATGGACGGGGAATAAAGCAGCACGGGCACCTGTAGGACAGGAGATGCCTTTTCGGTGTGGTTTTGGCTGTTTGCAGGGAGCTGGCAGCCAAGGTGCTCTGGGGGATGGCTCTGGAGCGTTTGGGAACTGGGAATTGTGCCTGACCCCATGGGAGGAGAGCCTCAGGGCTCCCCACAGCCACCCAGGGGCACGGTGAGGACAGTCCCACGCCGTGTCCCTACAACAACTCCCACGCTGGGGCCACTTCCCAGCAGCTGCAGCAAACAGTGGCGGTGGGAAAGGTTTTATAACCTTGGCAAACATTCCTGAGCAATTCCCATCACGAGGAAAACCGATAGGATAGGCAGGCCCAGGTGCCCAGCGCCAGGTAGAGCCAGCTGAGCGCACGCCCGAGGCGTGGGGACACAAAAAGCTTTTCTTGGAGCATTGGGGGGGGCCGGGGGAAGGCGAGGAGGGGGCTGAGAAGCGCTGTCAGGATGCGAAGCGAGCTGGTTTCCTTCGCATCCTGAGCCGCCCCCTCCCCTCCCACGGCGAGGAATGCGAGCGAGCGCGGCGCATCCCCAGGCCTCGCTCTGCCGTGGGAGTTTCCTACCCAGGAGAGTTGAGGCAGGTTATAAATAGGATGGAGAAGGGCAGATTGCAAGGCGAAAGGAGCCCACTCCTCCTCGGGGATGTGCCCGAACGCTGCGAGGCCTCCTGTGCACCACTGGGTTCCTGCATCGTGCTCTGTGCCGTGCTGTGCGCCCCGGCACCAGCTCCGCTTTCTCCAGGCCCTGCAGTCAGATCCAGCAAAGCGATGGCCTTCAGCTGAGATTTGCTCTAGGAGCTGGGGCAAATTCATCCCTGCTGCAGCTCAGCTGGCTTATTAGGGGGGCCTGGGGCTCAGGTTTGGGATCTGTTGCGTGCAAGCAGGCCAAACCCACTCCGTACGGAGAGCAGGGCCCGTGCCACAAAGCCAAACAAACACGGAGAGCGCCTCTCCTCCAGCCCGACATCTGTCTCCACTTCAGGGACCTGCTGTGCCCTCGGGACACGGCTGTGCTCCGCCGGGTGCGAGGGACAAAGGCGCTCACCAGGCTGCTGGGACCCCCCTGGCACAAAACCGAAGGGGAGGAACACTTGGGGAGCAGATTTTGCCAGACTTGCCTGGTATTTTGCCCGCAGCTGCGTGCTCGCTTGGTAAAGCTGCAAGCAGGGATGCACGACACTGACCCCCATGTTCATTAAGGGGCAAAATTCGTGTAAAAACAAGCGAGGAGTTAGCTGTGGGAGCAGCAAAATGCTGTCTGCTGGGCATGGGTTCTGCAGCAAGTGGAGCTTTGCTGGGCTTTGCTGGGGCTGGGTGAACAATTTTGCGCCCTGCATGACTGGGGCTGGCGTGGTGCTTCCAGCTCTGCCCATCGCCAGGGGCTGTTCCCAAAGAATAATTAACCATGAACACAAATTAACGGGGGCCCAAGGGAGTCTTAAATCGGGAAATCTAGTTTTAAAATGACTGGAGGCTTTTCTAAAGGGCAGGGTTTAGCAAGGAGGCGGTTCGGGAGGTCCTGGGGCATGCATTAGGCGGAATTATCCGATGGGCTCCCCTGGTTTATTATCTATTAATTGGTATTAGTCATCAAGCTACGCCGCTTGGATAACGGCTCATCCTCTTAGTTCACTGAGTCGATGAAGCCAAAAACGCAGGGAGGAAATTGCATCCATGGCCTGTCGTGGTCAGAGATGGTAAAGAAGCGACGTGGTCGAGCCGTGATTATTACCCCAGGGCCCGTGGGAGGCTGTGGCTACTGCACCACGGAGGTGCTGGCCCTGGTGGCCCCGTCCTCTGCTGGGCCACCAAGGGCAGGTTTAGTGTCTGGGGCAAGTGCTGAGCCCGTGGAAAAGCTGATTGCTGGTTCGATCGATACAAAGCTCGATTGAAGGCACCGGGGTCGTGATATTGGGCAAAATGGCTTTGTGGAAAATTGGCTTCGGGCAGCACAGCTTGACTTGGTTTCTGGAGAACTGGCTGGGGATGTCTTCTCTGGATGGCCACGAAACCCAAATTTAGGGCAGTGCTGGGTGTGCTCTGGGTGATGGTGCTTGGAGATCAGCACCAAATCATATTTAATAAGCCTTGAGTTAAAGGGAGTGGGTGCAGGCTAACCAACATACACAGCAAGCAGATTAATGGGATTTGTCATTGCATGGGGTTTCGCTACTGGCTTTCGGGGCAGAGCTCTCTGCCTCTTGCTGTCCCGGAATCAAGGCTGGAGAATATTTTTAGTTGAGATTCAGCGATGTGACGGCTGGAAAACCCTCGTGGCTTTGTGCTGCCCGGGTTTTGCTCGGAAATAGGGGCAGGCACGGTGCTGGGAGCCGTGGAGGGGCTGTTCTGTAACATGTGGGTGGCGGAGATCCCATAACGGTGCCTGGGGCCACGGCTGGAAGGAGGGAACAGCTGGGGAGGGAGCAGAAGAGGGCTGTGGGTCCGGGACTGCTACTAAAGCACAAATAATAAGGAGCCCTCAAACAATGTTCGCTAATCTTCGGCTTTGCTGGGATTTCTGGGGGTGGGGAGCAAGCAATAACGGCCCGCTTTGAGTCTAAAAATGGAAGCTCCCCGTTTCCAGAAGCATTACGCTCATCAAAGGCAACTTATCTGGCCCCCGCGGCTTTTTAATGAGTTTTAATTGTGCTTCAATGCAGCATTAATCGGGAGCTTTAGGACTGCCCGGCTGCGGCCAGCAGGCTGGCTCGCTGTAACCCATACCATGCAGAATGCGCCGCGGGGTCACCCCCGCCCCCCCCCCCCCTTCTCCTTTTCATGGAAATTTTATCAAATGATGAATAGTTCAATTCATTATCCGGCTAGCGGCGAGCTCGAAGGAGTCGGATCCCGGATTCCTATCTCCCAAGTCAGTGTGTCATTACCGAAAGCTGGCAGCAGGCAAAAACCTACGTGACGGGGCCAGCTGCTAGAGTCCCCCACAAATCTGGGAATCGAATCTTTCGCCGTCTGGAAGGGAACCAGCGCGGAGCTCGGCTCCCAGAAATCTTTCTCTCCTTTGTTCCTCACCGAGCTGTGAGCGAAGCCGC